AAACTCAATTGGGACTGATACATTGGTTCTCCTTTATTTTTACATTTTTTTTCTTTTGTAAAATCTTTTTTTTTCTATGTCAATTTAGATTGCCCCACCAACTATATGCTAAAAGTACCATTACAAATGAGAGAAGAAAAAAAAAAGGAGTGAATACATTAGAATATAAATAACACTTAAGAAATTCAAATTAGTGTGTAACGCCCCAAAATCCATCCTAGAAGACATTACTATCTACAAACCATCCAACCATGAGAGCAACTAAAAATTAGTGTGTAACGCCCCAAAATCCATCCTAGAAGACATTACTATCCACAAACCATCCAACCATGAGAGCAACTAAAAATAACTATTAAGTAATAAACCATCCATCCATTTAACAAGGAATAAATACTAAAGCCAATAAAACATTAAAACTTCTCTAACTTAAATTTCAAAGCTAATAATATCTAGCAGCAGAATAATAAAAACTAGCTAAAACATTGTTTCATAAAAATCTCTCAAACTCTAAACCAAAAATAGAACAACTCTATTCCTCTAAGGTGGGATCCACATCTTGATCCTCCAACGGCTCGTAATCAATCTGTTCATCCACATTGACATCCTTTTCTATGTCAAAATCTGTAAGTGTGTTGTGNTAAACCAAAAATAGAACAACTCTATTCCTCTAAGGTGGGATCCACATCTTGATCCTCTAACGGCTCGTAATCAATCTGTTCATCCACATTGACATCCTTTTCTATGTCAAAATCTGTAAGTGTGTTGTGGGGGGTGAGCAAAATTCCGTAGGAAATCCCTTTCAAATCCCAACAAGGTTTAAAATAATAAAAAATGGCAAGTCTCTTTCGAAAAATAGAATATATAGATTTTGAGAATAAAACCATGATAGTTGTAATGATCTCAAGTGTATGTAATACAGTAAATCAACGACAGGAATAAACTTGCAAGAAATTAAAGTAATCAATAAATAACTCGACTACAAGTGTTAGACAACCATCTCACCTTCATTGGNGAGAATAAAACCATGATAGTTGTAATGATCTCAAGTGTATGTAATACAGTAAATCAATGACAGGAATAAACTTGCAAGAAATTAAAGTAATCAATAAATAACTCAACTACAAGTGTTAGACAACCATCTCACCTTCATTGGGATAAACTAACCTCTAACACTCTACAGTAGCTCTCGAAGGCAATTCAAGTCCATCACAACAAACAATACAAGAGATGAAACCACAACTTTTTCAACAACCACAATCTTAACCAATCACAATTTTCATTAACAATTCAAATATCACAATTGTACAATTCTCAATTTACTATAGTAATAAAAGAATTAAAATATACAATAGATCATATCAAGAAAATCTTTACAATTTTGATATCCCAATTATAGGGTTTTGCCAAAAATCCCAATTTCTTGGAACAACAAGTATTAGATGNTTTCATTAACAATTCAAATATCACAATTGTACAATTCTCAATTTACTATAGTAATAAAAGAATTAAAATATACAATAGATCATATCAAGAAAATCTTTACAATTTTGATATCCCAATTCTAGGGTTTTGCCAAAAATCCCAATTTCTTGGAACAACAAGTATTAGATGAAACATGATTTAATCATGAGTTGGACTTTAGAAATCAAGAATCCATGTAATTTTCATCATAGAACATGTATTTTGGAAAAATTTGGGTTTTGAAAATTCAAAAACAAATATTCCTTGAACTCAAACATATATTTTGTTCAAGACTATGTTCTAATGATAAAGAAACCAAGAACTCATATATATATATATATAATTATCAAGAAGATTAAAAACATACATATATAATACCCTTAGTCTCAATGAAAGAATTTAAGAAGAATCCCCTACCACGATTCCGTAGTTTTGTATGAAAACCTANTATATATATATATATATATATCAAGAAGATTAAAAACATACATTTATAATACCCTTAGTCTCAATGAAAGAATTCAAGAAGAATCCCCTACCACGATTCCGTAGTTTTGTATGAAAACCTAGCGTGTTTAATCCGTTCCAACATGAGAATCCCCCTTCAATCTTGTTTTTCTCTTCTTCTCTCTTGTTCTCTAAGGTTGTCTAGGGTTGAAAACTGATGAAAAATAACTAAAGGGACTTCCTTATGGTATTTATAAGGTGAAAAACGGAGAAAAACACTAAAATTGATCGGGGCCGTTTTTAGGGCAGCGTCTGAACAGTCTTTGGGCGTCCGGACGGTTCAAAGTTATTGTTTTTGATGAAAAATAAATTTTTTTGATAGAGAGGGGTGTTCGGACGGTGCTTGGGCCGTCCAAGCGGTACCAACTTTCTGTCTGAACTTCATGAGAAGTTTTCACATATTTAGAAGTCGATTTAAGAAATTTTCGTAAAATACACTTTTTTAACCCTTGAAATCTAGTTTTTACTGTTCAAAAATCAGATCAATCAGAGTTAGGAGGAAAGAGTTATGACTAAAATACTAAAGTAGTGTCAAATTCCTTCTTATCCGAATTCTTTCTAAAATACGTTTAAACTGCGGAATACTTCCTAACTTCTAATAAATCCCATATTACCTATCCCAAGGTTTCTCGACCTTTCAGATTCAATAAAAAACTTATTTTGACCTAAAATTATTTAAAAACTTACCTCACAACCCTTCCCAAGCTTAAACGCCTTTGAAACTTAAACTTCACAATCAATTTGTCTCCATAGTATTTATTTCTACTGTTGCGATCTATATAGTCCATTCTTACATCATTACATATATTAGAATTACTAAATAATTACTTTATTAGATTAATATAAACATATGGGGGTTTACATTATCGATGGCTTGACTATTGACACTCAGTTGAATACCCCTCTTTTCTGCTAAAAAAATCAAATCTGTTTGTGTAATGACGTATGTTGATTTGTGTTTATTGTCATTAGTTAGGAAGCTTCCAAATTATGGCATATGGAGTTGATATTTTGATTCCGATAATATCTGTGTAGCAATATTAGAATTATGAATACAACATGCTTGAATTCAAATAATAAATGCTTTTAATGCGCTTCTCATTTATGTTTTCCTTCTTCAATTTAATACACATTTCATGCTGATTTGTGTTGTTCAGTTGTTATTTGATTTCTTGTTTCTGTCAATACAATTTTTAGTTGGAATTTTATGGTATGGTTGAACAGAGTAACTTTGCAATATATTTTCATCTTAGGGAAATTAATGAAACCAATTGTCGCTTATTTGATTTTTTGTGTTCTGTGTTCCCCAATTTTCTTCTATTCGTTCTTGCTGGCAAAAGTCAATCAGACCCCTATTGAGATTGTATGTTTGTCTGTCTTTTTAATCCAAATTCCTAACTGGTTTGGGTTGTCCTAAATTGTGATTCTGCTTGTGATTGTTTTTTGATCCTGTGTCATATGATATCCAAAAGCTTGTTTGTGAAATTTGAACATGCACCTATATTGATGACCTTGACTTATGGATTATCTATTTATTTGATCAAATTTGAACTTGTGTTGCTTGTCTTTTTTTTGGGGTGGAGGGGAGACTTGAACTCTTGACCTCAAGAAGGCAGCCTTTATAAGACAAGAAATATCATTGGACTAAAGACCCATTGGTTGTTGTTTGTCTTCTTTACGGTGGCAATCACTATTGATTATTATGTGCAAGTTGGGTGTAATAATAACACAAACTGAGGGATCGACATTGATTCCCCCACCAAGAGCTTTTTTGTTGTTTTGCATTGCATTGCATTTCCTTTTTCAGCAACCATGTCCATATNATCAAATTTGAACTTGTGTTGCTTGTCTTTTTTTTGGGGTGGAGGGGAGACTTGAACCCTTGACCTCAAGAAGACAGCATTTATAAGACAAGAAATATCATTGGACCAAAGACCCATTGGTTGTTGTTTGTCTTCTTTACGGTGGCAATCACTATTGATTATTATGTGCAAGTTGGGTGTAATAATAACCCAAACTGAGGGATCGACATTGATTCCCCCACCAAGAGCTTTTTTGTTGTTTTGCATTGCATTTCCTTTTTCAGCAACCATGTCCATAAGCTTGTTTGGGTACTATTTGCAAGGATCTCACATACCATATTGTTTATCTATCTTGCTTACCACTAAAGGGGTTTAAATATTTTATTGATTTTTATTGTAGAGCCACAAGAGAGCAGAGAAGTTCATAAAAAAATATTTCCCCTTTTATGATGATTTGTGTTGTGTATAATACTTGGAAATGATCAGGCCACTGGTATAAAGGCACATGTCCCGACTGATGTGATGGAGGAATTAGAGAGAAAAGAAACAAATAATGAACATGAGCGAGTTGTATATAGATCTAATGACACTAATATATGCATGTCATTCACGCAGACATCAATGCACTGGCGAGGTTGGGACGAATGAGGTAGTAGTTGAAGGGGTTTTGAGTGCCGCATCGCTCATTAGTGTAGAGATTAATGATGCAATAACTGTATTTGTTTGTGCAATTGGTGTTGATGGGGCAATTTGCGACTTAAAGAAGAAGATTTATGAAGAGTTGATGAAGTTATTGGACTTGTACATGTCGGATTATGTATGAAATTGATGAAAGTATTGTATTTCTATTTTTTAAATTTGTTGTTTGTTATTGGTTTTTATTATTCTTTCGACAAATTTTTTTATTATGTGATCATTTGTGACTATTTACTACAAAGTTTTAAAATCAATAGACGTACTCATTATAATAAATTATGTTAACTAAGTTAGAAAATTCTACCTTGGTTAAATTTCAATAGAAATTATTTTAAAACTTAATATCAATTAATTGTCAAATATTGAAATGATAATACATTGTTCATTTCATTCACATGTCAATTTCATTCAAATTTAAAAACATTACCGCATATTGAACGCAAATTGTGGAACTGTGGAATGCAACAGGTCAGTGTGATTAAATTCATTGACCATGTGATTAAATTGCGGAATGCAGCAGGTCAATTAATCACACGTTCAATGAATCATCAGCTGGTCAACTTATGTGCCACGTCATCCATGCTCTTAACGATCTCCAAAGATCACCTAAAATGGTCAACCATAATTTAACACAAATGAAAATCACATTCTTACACAGAAACCCATGAACGTAGTTTTGCATGATTGCAAAATTCATCGTTCACCACAACCAAAAAACAAGCAAAATACCAGTTCACTTATAAGAACTCTATTTGCAAGCACTAAATGTACATCGTAAAATTCTCTACTGTTCTCTATTTCCTTCTGCATTCTGACCCTCTTGCATTTTATTTTGACCTTCTTTGTGCTCAGCCCTCTTTTTTTCTGGAACAAGCTGTCCAACCTTGACATACTTCTCCATAAATTTATATTCCCAATCTTGAAGTACTTCCAGCTCAGAAGTGGAGAGGCCAGCAATGTTCCCAGTAAGATCTTGAGGTTTAAATGACATGAGAGCTAAGGCTCTGCTGGCATCCCTACCAGCAAAAAGTGCATATGGCCCACCAGGACCGTAAAACATCCTGTACGGTAGGTCAAGTAAAATCAAATGCTCGTATATTTTGGATCTCAATGAAACAGGCTAGAACGTGCAAAAATAGTTAAAATGAATAAAAGAAGAAAAACAAACAATAGCACATTTTGTACAAGACACCTGAGAATGCTAAAGGCCCAAAAACGTATACCAACTTATGAAGAGACACATTCATATGATAAACCAGTTAGGAAACTTCAGATGAAAAAGGCCAGTGGCTAATGAATTCTAGACAAAACGAAATCAGTCATGGAATAACATCGCATCAATCAAAGTAATAAACCAAGATAAACTCTCTTAAACCTCAGAAAATGGTAACAAATTTACTTTTTGGATTATATTTTTCAGTGAGAAAGGAGAGGCATTAGTTATTAAAAAGAATGATTGAGGAATATAGGGTCGAGACGGCATTTTCACAAATGTTATTTCCTCTAAATTCCAACCATAATCCCCTTGTTCCAATGGCATTGAGGCAATTGACTAAATTTCAGAGGTTCCTGTTTTTTCTTCTTCCACCAAATTGTCCGGGGATGAGATTTTGTTTGCGGAGACCGAAGGCCATGTTGAGAAGAAACGGAAATTTTCAAAGTCCACCTCGTTCGCCCTTCCCAATAGAGTCATTCCCCCTTTCCAACCCATTTTGAAAGCTAAAGAGAGAGAGATCAATATGCGAGATTCGGCCGTTGATAGTATGAATGTGACAGTTAGGGTAATGAGGGGGGTCATTCTTCCACAGGATTTGGCAACGAATGAAAAGATGTCCGATGATGAAATAGCTCGGCAAGCCATTCAGTAGATGGTTTTGGTATGGTTTACTTCTCTTCATTTTTTGCTTTGTCGTATTTTTTTTGTCAAATGTTCTCTTTATGAAAGGTTTGCAAGAAGCCCATAGAGTTAAATGCCAGGATCGCAAAAAAGAATAAGGTCTTGAAATGGGCTATATATGATCGTATGGCCACTATGGAGAAGAATGAGACGTTGGATGCCGAAAACGCCAAGCTCTTTGAGGATATATTGGTGCTTCAAGCTCAAATGGCCTACCTAACAGAAGAGAAGGATAAACTCCAAGCTCTAAATGAGGAGTTAAAATCGTCAGAAGCGGGTAGCTATAAGCCAGCTTTCCTAGACTCAGGAAGAACATGTCACCCTTCTGGAGGAATTCAAAACCTTCAAGGCTTGATCCAAGGAGAGGGAGGACGATTCCTTTGAGCAAGGAATGGATAAGGCTGAGAGGGAATTAGCCCTGCAGATTCCTTTGATTGAGAAGGTTCACTTCAAGAAAGGTTGGGATGCTGTTCTTTTCTCTTCATGCTGTTTTGGGTTCTTCCTCAACACTTGCAAATCTTTGAAACAATTATGTACATTTTTCCTTTAAAAAAGAATCCTTTGGATGAAAGAATGTATCTTTTGGGTGAAAGAAATGGATGAATATTATCTTGTTAATCCTCCTTTTTTTAAAAGAAAAAGGTAGGATTTCCGCATTATGCCCTATCAAAAGGCTAGGCCCCCAAATTGCTAGGGTCTTTCATAGAACATTATGCCTTCTTAGAACTTAGCAAACTCTATGAAAGGCTTAGCCCCTACCAAACTACTAGGGCCTTTCATAAAATATTATGCCTTCGTAAAAGGCTCGGCCCCTAGCATAGTGCCAGGGCCTTAAATTGCTTTATTTGCAATTTTTTGCACTGACCTGCTGATCTAATCAGATTCAGATCTTTACCTATTGGGCCTGCATTGTCATGCCTAGCCTTAGGCCTAAGTTAAGGTGTAAACCTCTATGAGGTAGGTTGAAATGTGCCTGGTTCTTTTCTACTTTGCCTTGCAAGGGTTTAATTTGTGTGAACTCTACAAAGGTACTTTATAACATAGATTTTTATTGAAAAATATGGCTTACATTTCAGAATCTTGACTTGGTAAGATCTTACTAAGTAATTACAAGGGCATCTTATGTTGCCTGATATTTCCCGGGAGGCAATCATGTTGTTTTAAGGTACTTTGATGTTTTCCAGTAGGCACTCCTGTTTTTCGAAGATTGGCCACATTCCAGGATTGTGGAAGTGGCTTTCCTTCTATGGTCTTGAGGTCATAGGACCCATTTCCTCCGACTTTTGTGACCTTATATGGTCCCTCCCAGTTTGTTCTACGCTTCCCGTCCGTGGGGTTCTTGGTGGAGCCCACTATCTTTCTTAAGACTAGATCTCTAGTATTGAAGACTTAGGGGTGAACCCTCTTATTGTGAGCTCGGGACATCTGTTACAGATAGACCGCTAGTCTTATGGCTACGGACTCCCTTCTTTCTTCTACTAAATCTAACTCTTTAGCAATGGCGTTGTTGTTTTCCCCACTATTCGCTAGGTCAGTTCTAATGGTAGGGAGGCTGATTTCCAAAGGTATCATAGCTTCCATGTCATACGTATGCTAACGCAAAGGGAGTCTCCCCCGTTGCGCGATGCGGTGTGGTATGGTGCGTCCACAATACACTGGGCAGCTTCTCCATCCATTTACCTTTAGCCTTTTACAATCTCTTCTTTATTCCGTTAAGAATCGTTTTATTTGATATTTCTACCTATCCATTGCTTTGTGGGTATACAAGGGCGCAATAACGAATTCAGATCCCATAGTGCTAACAAAATAGCTTGAAGGGCCCAGTGTCAAACTAAGTTCCATTATTTGAGATTAACACCATTGGTATGCCATATCTTGTGATTATGTTTTTCCACAGAAATCTCTGTGTCGATATTGCGAATATTTGCCAAGGGCTCGACTTCTGCCCATTTTTTGAAGTACTCAGTATTTACAATAAGGTACTTCTTGTTCCTGAGCGCTTTAAGCAATGGTCAGACAATATCCAATCTCCACTACTCAAAAGGCCATGGTCTTGTGAGGGGAATTAGGACTTGTGCAGAGCTGCCTTGGTATTGAGGCGAACCTCTAGCATTTTTTTGCAACTTCTTACATATTGTTGCGTGCTTCTGCCTATTAGGCCACCAATATCCTCGGGAAAACACTCGGTGTGCAAGTGATCTTTCTCCTGTGTGAGCCTCTCAACTTCCTTCGTGAATCACAAAGAAGAAATCATGTAGTTTTGCAGGGTGAGCGCAGAGTACGTACAAACCCATGAATGAGCGACAATATAATCCGCTACTTGGTGATAACCAAAACCTAGCTACCAGCAACTGTACTTTGTGTGCCTCACTTATTTTTGGGAAGTTGCCCACTCTTAAGATAATTAGTGATCGGGTCCATCCTACTATGACCAAGCTTGGTTGATAGTGTCTCTAATACCTTTTGCAACTCTATGCTTGGCTTATCTCTACACTCATCTATTATATTTAAGGGAGGATGCCAATACGGCTAGCGTGTCGGCATGTGAATTTCTTGCTCTTGCAATCTATTGAATTGTAAATCTCAAAATATTCTCAAGATCCTCTTTGGCCAACTCGTTGTAGGCTATCATTCGCTCCTCCCTTGCTAAGTAATCTCCCAATAGTTGATTCCCTACTAACTGCGAGTCGAAAATATCTACAATTGTTCGGCACCCAAGTCTGCCACGAGCCTCAACCCAACCAAGAAGGTTTCGTTTTCTACCTCATTGTTTGATGCTTGAAAGCCAAGTCTTACTACTTTCTCAAGCATGTCACATTTGGGACTTTCCAAGACTAGGCCTATTCCAGCCCATTTTCTGGTTTAATGACCCATCAACGTACAATTTTCAACCATTTTGAGGGCCTGAGGTGCTCTCTTCGGTTATGCCTTCCTCCAAGGCACTTGGTTTTTCGGGGAATCAGTAAGAGTTCAGTTAACGTCGGAAGTGAATTCGACTAGAAAATCAGCGAGCACATTACCCTTTATTGTTGTTTGAGGCTCGAAGTTGATGTCGTACTGACCTAGTTCGACGGCCCACTTTCACAATCTTCCTGATAGGTTGGTCTTCCTAAAGAATGCCCTGAGCAACTGGTCTATGAGTACCATAACCGTATGCGCTTGGAAGTAATGTCTCAATTTTTTGGCAAAACTCACAAGCACCATTGCCACCTTTTCTAGTGGTAGGTATCTAGTTTCTACATCAAGAAGCGTTTTACGTATGTAGTAAATCAGGCTCATTCGTCTTGGGGAGGTCTTCATCAGTGCCCCACTATTCGCGTACTTAGAAACGACTAGGTAAAGGAATGGACATTTATTTGGCTCCGACGTTGCTAGTAACGGTGGGGCGGCCAAATATGACTTCAACTAATTGAAAGCATCCTTGCATTCTTGAGTCCAAACTCTTCCACCTTTTTGATTAAGCGTTTGAAAAAATGGCCTACACTTGTCCAACAACCTTGTTATGAATTTGTTGAGGGTGGTTGCCATGCCAGTTCCTTTGGTACGTTGCTTCGGTGTTCTTCTGTTCAAACGACATGATTCTATAGCGATATGCCCCTTGTGGTGTGATGAACATAATTTTCTCCTGGTCCAGCGAAAAAGGGGATCTAATGATAACCCTTATAAGCATCAAGGAACCTCATCCTTTCATACCCAAAGGTTACATCTGTTAGAGTATTAATATTAGGTATAGTTTATGCATTTACTTTATTCTGTGTTTCCCTGCCATATAAGAGCTTACATTGTGTATTTTGGGTTATGTGGTTGCGTAGGCTAATTAAGATTTTCTCTTCTCTTCTCCATCTATATCTTTGATCTATGTTTAACATAGTATCTGAACGGGTTACAATCGTTAAATACAAATAACAAGTTTTAGAAGAGGGAATTTTTCAATGAAAACCTGGATCAATGTCATTTGTATACATGATGATGTCATCATGACATCATCATCTGGGACAGTTGAGCACTATTAATCCAGTCGGTTTTTCATGGGCTACAACGTGTTGTGATTCATTTTTTTATTTCGTGGTCAGTTTGTATGGATTTCAAAATTTTGAATAATTTTTAGAAATTAGGGCTAAAAGTTGAAGATCTGTGAACTTTGCAAAATTTGATCGAGTTTCTTGCCTCCAATCTATTCCATACTATAAGATTTCACCCTATTGATGTTTGATTAACAACCTTGCAACAGATTGAAGATCTTTGTGGTGAAAAAAAATTAGATTTTTGCCTCAATCGGGTAAGAAGCACAGATACTCGTTGGGGGGTTGTCATGGTAGTGTTGGACATGTGTCTAACACTTCTAGAAGTGTCTTGTATAGTAGATTTGAATTTTTTTCAACTGCATACGGCTCGGATACGTGGGGGATACCGGAGGACACAACAGGGATACGACGGGGCTCCTTTTCTTATTTTAAAAACTTAGGGGGCTGAAACAAAAAAAAACCGCAAAGCGACGTCGTTTTTGGGGTTGAAAAAGAAAAAACAAAAGGTAAAGCCAAAAGTCAAAAGGCTCAACCTTCGACTTTTCTATTGTGTTTGTGAGA